CTCTCAGAGACTCAGGATGGAGACTCAGAAGGCTGGGGTCTGCGAGGCAGCGACCCGCCCCTCACCCGTGGCGTTGGGGGGGCACTTGTTGTAGATGATCTCGCCAGCTGCCGCCTTCTTCCACGTCATCAGCATCACGTACTCGTCCCTGCACATCTCGTGGAAGGCTGCGGGTACAGGGCAGAGGCTCAGCCGGGCTCACACACGGCCCCAGCCCCTGCGGCAGTGCAGGCATACCTGGACACCTCTTCTCACTGCACGGCTTCACCTCCTCTCCAGTGCCTTCACAGGGGTAACCCTGTGCGCCGGAGGCGTGGCACATGCGGAAGCGGCGCTGCCAGCCTGTGTCACATGTCTTGGAGCACAGGCTCCATGCATTCCAAGGCCCCCACTTGCCATCAGTGGCTGTGGGAGAGGGGAAGGGTGAGAGGCAACAGGTGCCCCCAAGACCAGGGCCACCACCTGCTACCCTCAGGCTGAGTACTCACCCGGGCACTCGAGACTGTTGCACTCGCGGGTGTCAGTGAGGGCACCCGTGCATGTAGCCCAGGATGGGCCTGCCACACTGCACTTCCGGCTGCGCTGTTGGGTCCCATTGGCACAGGATGAGGAGCATGGGCCCCACGGACCCCATTCTAGCCACTGGCCTTCCACTGCATGGGGAGACACAAGCAGGGGCAGTCGTTGAGCAGAGAACCGGTGGACTGGCAGGGGCAGAGTACCACAGGGAGAACGCAGAGTCTGCTTGGCACCTGGACCTATGCCAGGCCAGCCCCACTTTGTGGGTGCATGAAGGGGTCTGGAGTGAGCAAGCAGGTGGTGCCTGAACCTTATCCTGCCCCACCTGTCACCAGCTCCAGGAAACACAAGACACATCTTCACTCAGCACCAGGGTGCAAGCCCTCTTCTGGCTGAGGATGTGGGTCTGGTCTTTGCCCACTCTTAAACCCAGCTTTGAGCCCTCTCAGTCCAGCTGGCCAGGAGCACCAAAATGCTTTTGACAGCAAAGGCAGCCAAGGCTTACAGGATGGCGTGCTGGCAAGCAGCCTCCTTTTGATGGGGTCAGAGTGCCAAGCCCAACCAGGGACGGGGCTTACCTCCCACATGGCAGGTATACTTCTCTGGCCTTCCCCATGCTTGGTCAGTGTTCACGGGGTCCCCTGGGGCAGGACTGTGGACCTGACTGTCTCCCCTGGGTCTCCCAACCCCCACCCCCACCCAGCTGGGCAGCGCCTGCCTAGAAGCCCCCGGGCGCTACTGACCCGGGCAGGCGGCCATACTGCAGAGCTTAGTCTGCAGCTCGGGACCCTCGCAGGCCTTGCCGCCGTGCTGGGGGGGCACGCAGGTCCGCATCCGGCTCCGAGACCCCCGCCCGCAGCTGCGGGAGCACAGGCTCCAGGACCCCCACTCCTCCCACACGCCGTGCACTGTAAGGAAGCACGTGGCCGGTGGCAGGGCAGCACCTTGGCCCTGCCCACTGCCATCGCTTGCCCATCCGCCCACCAATCAGGAGCTCCGCAACTCTGCAGCCCTCCTTATTGGCTCTGCCTTGGTGTTCTACTGCCAGGGCGATCTCTCAGGCCCCAGGACTCTGCCCTTTTAGGGGATGTGGAAGACACAGGCTTCTGGTCCCAAGTCATACAGGGCAGATCCTGTGGAGACGTGGATGAGGAGAGTAGGACCAACCCAAGAGGGCAACCAGGGGTCTTCCTCTCCTGCTCTCCTGACAGCACAGGAAAGGACCCAAAATCCACCCCACTCTACCCTTCCCACCCCCAGAGCCACAGCGTGAATCCAACATGGCAGGCCTGAAGCGAGCCAAGCCCCCCAGTCCCAAGCTCACGAACACACAAATAGACATGAATCTCTACATGGACACTGATACTGAGCTCACGTGCTGGAACACAGCTTTGCCCCGGCCCTTTGCAAGCACCTGCCACCCCAGGGATCAAGAGCCCTCCCAGGTGGACCCTGCTCTCAGTTCACAGCCAGGCACCATTATGCTCTCAGGGAACAAGAATAAGACTGGCTGCCCTGCCGCTCACCAGGCAGGCACATGCACCTTCTCAGCAACTACACGCTTCACTACAGAGGACCTATGGGTCTAGAGGAGGCTCCCTGGAGGAGACACGAGCCCTGGTCAGGGAACGGACTGTTGGGAAAGGCTTCATTTAAGAAGAACAGTGGCATTCATCCTAGATCCTTAAGGACAGGCAGAATTTTAATAGACAAGGTAGCGGAGGGAGGGTAACACGAGAAGCAGCAAATGCAGGGAGGTGGGAAAGTTCAAGAGTGCTCATGAGGCCAGGGCTGGGAAACACAGAGGCAATGTAGGTAAAAATGAGCCTTGTCTACCAGGACATGGGCATCAGAACTGAGCCCAGCGGTGTGGGCCTATTCAGCCGTGTCCCTCGCCAGGCTGGCATGGTGCATGGGGCTAAGCATGGTATAAGGGACGGGCAAATTTTTTGAACGAAAAGGGCCAACCAAGCATTTTTGGGAGAGTCATGTCCCAGGTAGGACCTAACCCTGCAAGCACATGGGGCAGGGAGGAGGATGGGCCTACCTGGGCAGGTGGCTGAATTGTTGCAGGGCCGGGTCTCCCGCAGGGGCCCGCTGCACAGGGTCCCATAGGGGGAGGACACGCAGGAGCGGGTCCGCACCTGCAGACCCTGCCCACACGTCAGGGAACACACGCTCCACGGGGACCATTCCTCAGCCGCCGGGTCGCCTACGAGAGAGGGACAGTGTCGGCGGCAGGAGGCACTTCCCAGGCCCTTGATTTCATGGAGTGGGGGAGCACCAGCAAGACGGGCGCAGGCATCAGGGGGACCCTCCTAACCTGACCCCAAGTGGCAGGCTCTCTGGGAGGCAACCCAGCCCTGCTCACAGGCCTTATGTGGCAGAGATGCAACTGAGCTCCAGGACATAGACACAGACGGGCACACACCAAGCACACACGCCATCAATGCCACACAGTCGGGCCCCCGCCACAGAGGGAGGGAGGCGGGCCCGGGTTACCTGTCTGCGCCATGTATAGCCCAGGCTCATCTGCAGACCTTGGCCACTGGGTTTTCACCTTCGGTTCCTCTTCCGGCTCCTCACCTGGAACACGGGGGTGGTGGCAGGGGCTCAGCAAAAGCCAGCTCAGTCCTGCCACAGTGGCACAGAGGGCAGCCTTGCTGGTCCTCAGCCTGAGAGCTTGGAACCAACTGCAAGTGATGCAGAGAGAGCATCACATCCTGCCCTCTGGCCCCCACCCACCATTTTACAGATAAGGAAACTGAGGCTCCGAAGGCCACACAGGACTCGCCCTCAGCCTTGCAACCACTTCACGCTTCAGCCAGACAGAGGAGACTGGAGGCTGCTCATGTTAATGAGCTCCGGGGAGGCATCTGTGCTGAGCCTCCCATACCTGTCTCCTTCAATCCTCTCGCTGGAAGAAAGGACACTCTCTGTTAAGAGGGGAAGAAACGAGGACCAGACAGAGGTTGTAACTTGCCCAAGAGCACACAGCTCAGTGAGCCTGAAGCTCAGGCTCTTTCCCCTCAAAGGGCTGACTCTCCACCCCACACCTGCTTCTGGGACACAGCTCATGCTGGGCCTGGGGCCGGGCACAGGGCTAACTCTGCATCCCAAGCAGTCCTGGACTGTACCCTGGAAGTACAGGTCAGAATGCCACTCCTCTGAGAACTGAGGGCCTAGGTCGGGGCTTACACCAGCAGACACTCCTCCCACTGCCCCTGTGGCGAGGAGAGCAGCAAGTTCTCCAAGAGGTAGCTGCTGCCTCAACCCCTGACCATGCTGGGCTCTCAGCTGCCTGGATTTATGTGTCTGGTCTAGGGCTTGGCAGCTCCACCAGCCTCAGAGACTTTATTCTCCCAAGCCTGCTCTGCATAGATAGGAGCTGCTCCAGGCCTCTCATTGTGTGCTCTACTTTGGATCTGGAATGTTCCCCATGTGTTAAAGGATTGGTCCGCAGCTCAGCAATACAAGAAGGTGGTGGAAACTTTAGGTGGCGGGGCTTAGTGGAAGGTCTTCCAGTCACTGGAGGCACGCCCTCAAAGGGAATAATGGGACCCCTTAATCCTTCCTTTTCCTCTAGTTTTGTTTCTGGCCACAAGGTGAATGGGCTTCCTCCGCCACACTCTCCCACCACGATGCGCTGCCTCGCCACAGGCCCAAGAGCAGCAAAACCAACTGAACACAGACCAAAACCTCCCAAACTGTAAGCCAACGTAAACCATCCCTCTTAATAAGCTGATTATTTCAGGTATTTGCTGTAGCGTGGGAAGTTGACTAACACCCTCGGAGTAGTAGTAGGAGTGAAGGACAGACAGGAAAGCAGGAGGAAAAGGCCTGGCTGCTGGGCAGGCAGGACTGAAACAGCACTGGGAACACTAGAAGGTACTGCTTGCCCCTGCTCCCAGTTCTCTCAGCAGGGACCCGGAAGAGCTGCACTCCTCTTGGCCCCTGCTACTCAGCCCCAGGTCTGCACCAGAGACAGCCCTCCCTGACCAGACTGGCAGAGTGGTCACCTTAAGAAATTTCACTGCCTGGCAGGCTCTGAGCTGCCCCCTCGCCTCTGGTCTCATCAACTCCTAGGCCTTTCCCTCCACTTTAGCCACCAGTCCCAGAGCCTGAGGCACTTCATCTTGGAATCTTCACCATCTTTGAAATCTGGCATGCTCTCTCCCATAGCAACCCTGTATCCTGACTGGGAGAACCCTGACAAGCTGTGCAGCACTGGGCAAATCTCTCCACTTCTCTGACCCTGCCTTCTCTGGAAAGCAATACTCATAATCCTCCAACCTCAAGGACTGACGTAAGGACCTGACAGAAGGCTGTGAAGCTCTCAGCACCATGTTTGTTATGTGGAAAATGCTCAGAAGATAGTGACTCTTCAGTTTATTTTTATCATCTTCCCTCTTCTCACAACCTCCGCCCGTATTGGTTCCAGGCCACCCTTCACCCCTTAACACGCCCCCCTTTGAATAGCTTTCATGGTCCCTCTGGCTTCACTGTGGATCTTACCTCTACCAGGCCACAGAAAGGGCTCCCTGGGCCACACCTGCCACCTCCTGGGTCCCTTCACCCAGCCCCTCTACCGCGCCTGCTTCGCATCCCCAGCCTGGAGCCTTATGATGAGCCACCTTCTCCACACCCACTCCCAGGCTGCTGAAGAGCCTACAGCTGTGCCAGCTGGCACCATGACAGCTTCTGGATTCCATGTGTGCTGGAGTGCCCTCCTGAGCTTCGCTCCTTCTACACGCACCCCCGTGGTCACGCTGGACCTCGTCCTCTCTCCTCAAGCCCCTGTCCTCCTACACGATCAGCATGACCTCTTCCCAGAGAAAGCAGAAGCTCGGATACCTGAGTGCCAGCTCCCAGTCCTGCCAGGCCCCTCTGCACGCAGGCTACCCTGGCGGAGCCCTGCGCTGCTCCTTCGCCTTCACAGGAGGGCTCACCCATGGCCTCCTCTCTCATCAGCGTGCAGTCTGTACTCTCTCCCCTGGCAGCCCATGGACCCACTCAGGCCTCCTGCATTCGGGGGCCTCTCCACACCCTCCTCCCTCCTATGGCTGCTGCCCACCCGCTTCCTTCCACCACCAAGGCATAGTTCCCAGCTGCCACTCCATTTTCTCACCTGCCACTCACTTCCTGACTCAGATGTCACCTGCCCTGTTGATCCACTGCAGTCTGGCTGCTGCCCACATCTTTCTGCTGAAACCGCTCTTGACAAAGTCATCAACGCCCTCTTGCGCTCACTCCGTGGACAGTCCCAGGTCTTGTCTCGCTTGACACTCCACAGCAGTTGGTCCTGCTCACCTCTCCTGCCTTGAAACCCTCTCAACCCTGCCTCCTCTGCTTCTCTCTGACCTCTCTACAGGGCTGTGCTGTCCCCACTGCCTGTCTGGTCCTTTCCTGCTGCCTCCCCCTCAGGCATCCACGCTCCGTCCAGTTCTCACTGCAGTGCACCAAGGCTTAGTGAATGCCCTCGGAGCCAGCATCCCCAGTCTTTATGTCCAGCCCCTGCCTCTTCTGCAACCCACTGCTGTACGTCCTCTTGCCTCCTGCCTTGACTTTCAAACTTAGCATATCCAAAATAGGCTCATCAGCTCTTAACCTCTACTCGCTTGTTCCCACCTTTGCCTGGAAGACTCTTACTCAACCTTAAGAACCTCCCTCATTGACCTCTCACGTATAAGCCCTCCTTACCACCCACTCCTCAGCAGAGTTGGCTGCCCCCTCTTCTACAAGCGCTTTTGTCACAGATGGTTCCATCTTCTGACTGACTGTCTGAAATTACCTCATCGCCACTCCCGCGAGCCCTTTGAGGGAAAGCTGTACAAACACGAGGCATTTCCCTGACCCCTGTGAATGCCAGCACGTAACTTGACCCAGGGGGGGAAATCAATTAATGGACACCTTTCTCCTGCCTCTTCCTACTAGGAGTCACTGGAAAGAAACCCCTGTAAGGTATCCACTGCCTGGTGGTAGCAGCATCACAACCTGATATGTCAGCCCTTATTGAAGGGACATTAAGCAGGTTCCAGGACAGGGTCCCCCGCCCTCTACCTAAACCACCCGGCCTGACACCCAGTTATAAGTAAGCACTCAAGATATTTTCCAACCTGTCACAGGTGTGCACAGTCCTCTCATCTGGCCCCTATGTGGTATCTTGCCCAGGACTGGGCCTGGACAGTGCCACCCTCCACAGCTTGGGATGCAGTAAGCCCACTGAACAAGATAGGCTGAGACCAGCCTGATCTGCTATAGTGGACTCCATATCCATCCGCACTCATCAGCCACTTGCTAGCCAGGCCTACAATATAATCAGAGGTGGGGTCAGTGCTTTCCCAAATCTACCCTATGTGAAAATCAGAACATGTCCCAGACTCAGCTTTTGGGTTCCTCTCCCAGCCTCCAGAGCTAGGCCACAAAGGGGAAGGAACAAGCCCAAGACCACACAGCTAGGCTTACACAGACCACCCTCCTCCGTCTTCCACCTCACCCCTCTCAGCAGAGGCCAGCGATTTATTTCTCCACAAGAGAAAGCCAGTTTTCCCTGAAGGGGAAGAAGACAGATAAAACCAGGTGGCATTTATTGCAATCAACATTTACTCTGCACATACACACAGGCTCCCGCCGGCTCTGGGCCCAGAACAGGCAAACATGCAGGGAAGCCTAGCTGGCCAGTGTCTGAGAGGACAAGAGCCTGGGAAGGGTGTGAGTGTCCCCAGAGCCCAAGTGCCCCACCAGTGAGCTCAGTGAGCTTGTCAGATCAGGCCTGCTGTGCTGCAGACCTGCAATCTATCAACCTTCCCGTTGGCTGCCAGTCCCAGGACAGGCAGATCTCCCGCCACCTGTGTCACCACTCAACCACCTGTGACCTCTTCTGTTTTGAATTAGGTAACATTTATTAACCAGCTCCAGGCATGAGTCACTGTGCACTCCAGTACCTTGTGTGATTCTCACTAGGACAATCCCCCCATGTCATTACTAAGGATTGAGGCTCCAAGGTCTCACACTGAGGAGAAGTGAGGTGGGATTTGAACTCAGTCTTGACTGTCTCCAAAGTCTTGCTTTTTTCCACTCAATTGCACTCGCTCTGACAAAATGCAGCTCATCTCTAACGCTCTCAGATTTACCTTCCCTAGTGCCCAAGGGCTCCAAATCCTGTTACCCTGGTCCTTTCCTGTTACCCTGTTTTCACAGTTGTTCCTTTGCACCTCTGCTTTCCCCTCCCCTCCTGTGAGCCTGACTCTCCCCGCCCCCGTGGCCTCCAAAGTGATCCCTGAGGTCCCAGCTCCAGCTGCAAGACTCCTGCTGAGGAGCCTCAGTGGCTCCCTGCTGCTCCAGCTCCAGCTGACCTGTCCAGTCCTATCTTCCCCTTTCCACTGGACAGACAGCAAAGTAGGCTACAAGGCCACAGGACCAGCAAGAAGGGAACAGACTCTGGAACTGGACAGATGTGAGTTTGGTTCCCACCTCTGCCAGCCTCTTGCTGTCTGCCCCTGGGCAAATCACCTCATCTCTCTGAGCTTCAGATTCTTCAACTGGAAGTAAGAATAACACCTGCTACTGTACAGGTCCACTGTGAGAATTAAGTGTAACAGGAGATGTGGACTGCCTGGAGCACAATAAAAAGGAGCTGTCACCCCCTTCTCATTATCTCTTGAACATGTAAATGCTTTACTCCCTCCAGTGCATTCTGCTAATGCTGTTTTCTCCTCTTAAAATACCTTTTCCTCTAAACCAATCTGCCAAACTCTACATGTCAAGTTCTGCCTCTTCCAGGAAGCATTGCTAGGCCAACTTCCTAGGGTTCAGGGATGCTGGGCCCCTCTGTGGTGTAGTCCTTACTGCAGCTATGAGTATGGTGGGTTCATCCCTCCCATGGGCTCTAGAAAAGGCTCAGACGGTGCCCCTCTTGTACAGAGGGCCCAACTTCTGGGCAGCCAGATGCAGAAAAGACATTTGGCGGCAAACGTGGGCCTCAACCAAATGTTCCTCAACCCCAACCAACATGGGCCACCTTCACCTCACCCCAGTGCTGGGAGGCAACGTGCACAGTCTTTGCCACCCGAGCAGGACTACGCACACCTGCTGTGCTGTGCTCCCCTGCACAGTGCAGCCCCTCGGCCTCCTGTGGCTCAAATGTGTTATAAATAACCACAATAATCACCACTTCCATGGGGAGAGCACTGCAATTTACAAAGCAGTACTCCCTTCCCAGGCCTCTGTGCATCCTCCCTCAGGCTAGCCCCAGAGCCCTGAGCAGGCCCCTACCAGTCCTCTTGAAACTTGGCTCAGGTCCCTCAATGGCTTCCCAGCCCCAGCCGTGCTTTTTGCACCCTACTGCATGCTGGAATCCCAAGGGCACAGTGGGAAAGGGAGGTGCTTTGAAAATTCCAGTCTCTACCCCTACAGTCCAATGAGACCAGGTACCTAGCCAGAAAGGCAGTTCCCTTCCAGTGATTCTGGCTCCCCACACGGCTGACCTGTCCATCTAGCCTCCCACCTGAGCTGGCGAGATCACTGCCACATCCCTTATGTGGCCAGAAGCTCCTGGAGAGCAGAGACCGAGTCTGACTCAGCCTGTCTCCTCCACCATGCCCAGTTTCTTGTTGCCTTCAAGTCCCTGTGTCTTGGGACAGCAGTCAAAGCCCTGGTCCCGGGAGATGTAGCTCAGTGGCATTGTACCTGCTTCACAAGCACAAGGTCCTGAATTCAATCCCCTGTACAAAAAAAAAAAAAAAATCCCTGGCCCCACTTCCCTCCACTGGGCATCTGGTAATTCAACCCTGACTTCTTTTTTTTGGACCAGGGATTGAACTCGGGTCCTTGTGCTTGCAAGGCAGGTGGAGGCATCACTGAACTAAAACTCTGGCCCATACCCTGGCATGTTTGTACCCCTATGCCTTGTACAGAGGTTTGTACTTCCTCTGCCTCTGAAGCCCTTTTGTAAAAGGTTTCTTCCAAAGTGTGGGTTGGGAACGACTTGGAATGGCTCACAAATACACCATGAAGTAAACCTAGACTGAGGAAGTTAACTCCCTCCTAGGTTTCTATTATTACTATTACTGCTATTATTATTATTTTGGTGGCACTAGGTATTGAACCCAAGGCCTCTGCACTGAGCTACGTTCCCAACCCTTTTTAAGATGGAGTCTCATTAAATTGCCCAGGGTGGGCTCAAACCTGTGATCCTCCTGCCTCAGCCTACCAGACTGTTGGGAATACAGGCATATGCTGCTGTACCCAGCTTTCT